AAGAGAAAAGAGAATTAGGATGGTATGCGATTTGATTAGAGTTCTAGAAATTTGGGTGTGAAAATTATGAAGCAAAGGGATTTTCTAAAGAAGAAGCAAGAGTAGAAAAATCTTTGAGTGTAAAGTTTGAATGAGAAAAAATAGGGTTCTTATAGGTTGCTGGAGACGGTTCGGAACCGGTAATGGCCGACCAGCAATTGACAGGCATTTAATGCCTTGGTAACTGGACATACGGGATATTTCTTCTCATACGCCATAATCGGGCTCATCGTTGATGTCATTACCCATCAAGTCGGAGTTCAGAAATTCATATCGTTTCTCGCCATCTTCTTTTCGAGAAACGAGGGGACTATCTATATACGGTCAAAACCGAGCTTGCCCTTCATATGACTAATCGATACTGGAACATGATAGACCAAGGTTCAATCTCGTGTAATATCGAGCCATGATGTGAAGTTAGGTTGCCGAGCTCGTGACCTAGAGACCGATCAAGATCAAGATCGGCCAAGATCGAGATCGAGCAAAATAGAGACCGATCAAGATCGAGATCGGCCAAGATCGAAGCCGAGAAAAATAGAGATCGAGCGAGACCGAGGAAAACTTATCGAGCCGAAAAACAGAACGCCAGAATATCCGCAATTGGACGAGAATCTCAGCGGAAATCCTGACACACATCAAGGAGAGGCCAATTAATTAACCTATCATGAGATTCCTTACTGTATTTAGAATTATATTAAGAGTAGGACTTCCCTACTATATAAAGGGGGTCTGATAATTTGTAGAGGGGGATTGCATTCACTCAATACAAAGCTATATACTGTCTTCTTTCAGCTTTCAATATTTTGTTACTTTGTTTATATACTAGCGGAATCTCCACTTGGTTCGAGGGTGACCTGACTCGAGGGTCAAGGCTAATTGATTCGTCTGGTTTGCATTTATTTCTTTTATGAAATAATTGCTAAATAAAACATCTCCATCATTGAACATGCATTCCATAAACTTACAAGTAGGGGTGTCAATGTGTCACGACCCAAACCGATGGCCGCGACGGGCACCCGGTACCTTACTCAACCGAGTACTAACGTAACGTATTTTTCGTATCATACTATCATAGGTAATTGAGCCGGAGAGGCTGTCGTGAAATAAGTAGAATAAAATATTAGGAAATACTCAATATAGGGTGACCCAACTTGATATACCGACTTATACATATGACGTACTGGCCTATATGGCCATACCAGTATCCGTATACATGACTTCTGCCTACAAGCCTCTAAGACTACATAAATATCATAAAGGTTGGGACAGAGCTCCGCTATACCAAACAATACATATTTAAATCATACTGACCAAATAGGCAACTCCGGAGCAAGTGGAGTGCACAAACACCTTCTGCTGAGCTGATAGCTTACTAGGAGAACTCTCAACCTGTCTATCGGGACCTGCGGGCATGAAACGCGGTGTCCCCAGGCAAAAGGGACGTTAGTACAAATAAAGTACCGAGTATGTAAGGTATGACAGTAGTATATAAAAGACATGGAAGAAACATGGAGTAAAGAACTCAACCTGAAATTCTGAATAGCTTTGTGAATCATGAAAATTTATAATGTCATGCATGTGCATATAAATGTCATAACATGCATAGGTATATGTGTATATAACATCATCAACCCTCTGAGGGCATCCCATCATATCATCTCAGCCACTGTGGGCAAAATCATCAACGTATACCAACTGATCAGGTGGTGGTGCGTATATAACGCCGTAACCTTTTCTTATATCCCATATACATATAATATACGCGTATATAACGCCTTCTGGTCATGAGTCAATGTACATGTATAAATGCATGAAATGCATAAGAAATACGTTAATAAGTTTTCTCGAATATCATAAAATCAATATGCCTTTCGGACAAACTTTATAAAATACGTATTTTTCTGAGACCCATGAATAGAGGATATAATAATAATTCACATGGGAAATCAAGAATATAGACACCCCTAGTATTTTTATGAATAGAGTCATTTATGAAAGTTGCGTATTTTACTCGTTTCGTTTGTATCCTTTGGATCATACCAAAAAGAAAGAAGGGATAGCCTTAACATACCTTAACTCTGTTGAGTCCTTAATACCTTCTAAGAAATTCTTCAAACAACTCAATTCAATCTACCACATCACAAGGAGATTCAAAATCAGTGTTGAGTAAAGGCTAAGTCCACAACTTAAACTAGTTGCTCATTTACGTAAATTTGGGCAGCATCTCCCCTGTAACTAGGCCCTCCTCCAATACCATATACCAACAACAACAAGAACAAAATAATAACAACATGTAAGCACCATTTTCCAACCTTATCTCCATCACAATATATCACAAAACAACCCACACACCCTAATCACTTCATACATAAAACGACAACCAAAGTAGTGTCAAACAACTTAAAATAATGTAACGATGAACGACCATCCCACCATTCCATCATTATGTGGTGTTTCTCTACACCATTTATCCTACAAAACTTCATTAAATAGTAAAAAAAATATACAGCTCAAAGGTAACACGAAACAGCCCACAAAACAGTCCACTACAAGTCAAATAACTCGAACTCACGGCTTCCGATCACTGTCCCGTGAGTTTTAACTATTAGGAAATGAATTTATCAACCTTCATTGATATTTAAATACTTAAATACAGAAATTACATGTTTTATTAACTATGAATTACCTTCCAAAACTCAAACCACAAAGAAAAAGAGAGGCGATATAGCGATACTTACATCGTAGGGATCGTTTTAATATTATCGCTTCTTGATTCCGTGCCCGGGATGATAATATTGTTTGAATCTCTTATAGAGAGCTTAAGAGTAAAGTTAGGGGTGTTATTTGGGCGAGCTCTATGGAAAATTGGAGAAAGAGACGAGATGGAATGCAAATATCCCAATTATTTTAAAGGTCATAAAGGTGATACTTGGCACCCTTTGATTGGCCCTTCTTCCAACGCTTATAACTTTTTATCTGAGTATCGTATGAATGAACGGTTAAGAGAGTTGGAAACTAAATTCCAAGATCTTCAATTTGGTATATAATATGTCCCAAAAATACCTCATATAGCATACGAAATATATTTTTCAAAAAGCTCTGTTACAGGGCAAATCCTTAGTCGGTGTTTCCGCAACTTTAATCCGATTTTTCTCAAACTTCATATTTTCTATCCAAACATCATATATAGACATATTATGACTTTGAAATCATTTAAATCATGATTAACAAGTCTCATTTTTATTACGTCACCTTGGGACGCACAGGGTATAACACAATGGTTCGGTTCGGCCGGTTATTTTATAAAATTTGTATCATACCAATTTTTCGGTTATTCTATTATGTATAACCAAAATTAGACTTTTCAAAACCGTCCCAATCATGTCGGTTTCTCTTCGGTATCGGTATGGTTCGGTTAATTTTCGATATTTTTTAAAATATCATGTAAAATTCACCAGTAAAAGTAGAATGCAATAACATATGTTCTTTTATAGGACTTAGCAAAACTCTTTAGAAATTTTTACTGTTTAAAGGGTGATGAATTAAAAAAAATAAAAGATGGCTAGAGTGTAGATCCATAAACTATTCTACAACAACGTAAAAGAAACCAAGCAAAGGCAAAAAAAATATAAATCACACGAGTGGAAAGTTATTAACCAAGCTGAGACTCAAGAATAAAGTTTATAGAAGATTAAATATTCAAAAAGATAAATTTAAATTATATGAAAGGAAACACATTCAATACATTGTAGTTTGCTACTCATAATCGCTAGAATACTTTGTGTCTTGCTAATGAAGATACTTGAAATAACTTAGTTTAAGTAGAAGTAGCATAATAGGTTTTAGGAATTAGTATTTTGAGTTTAATTACTTGTTGGCTTGTAACAGTTTTCATAATTCCAAGGCCCAAAGAAAAATTTAATGCATTATTATTTTTAAACTTACTATATAAATATATTTTTCACATATAAAATTTATTCGGTACGGTTCGGTATTTTTTCGGTTTATTTTCATTAATAAAAAATCTACCCTAATTATCGGTGCGATTATAGATTTATATAAAAACCTACGGTTTCTTTAATAGAAACCTAAAAATCGGTTCAATACGGTACGGTTCGGTCGGTTTAGTCGATTTTCGAATATCCATTGACACCCCTACTTGCAAGGAGCTCAAACTTTATAATTTCGAACTCCACTTGCAGCCGTTCGAATTCCATTAGGATTTCCTAAATTTTATGTTGCTACATTTTAACTAATTGTTGCATTTTAAATTCTGACTATTTTCAATTACGTTATAAATACTGGCGATATTCTAATGCCCTAAAAGTGGCTATGTGGTAAAACCCTTCGGGGTTGCCCAGTTGGTTTGGAGGACGATCATTCATACGGATAACCTGAGATCGAATCCCCATCAATGACTTATGGGTTGAGTCTATCGCACATGTCTTACCTAGTGCGGTTTACCTCCCTGTGTGATTTGCAGGCTAGCGAGTTTCCCTCTTATAAAAAAAAAAAAAAAAAAAAAAAAAAAGAAGGGGGTGGCTATGTGGTATATACTTACTTTTTTACGATGACCACATGACCAATAATAATAGACGAAAGGTAAATACTTGATTAATACCCCAGGGTGGGTGATTTTGGAATTTAATCCTCAGCAGTTCAATTAATTAATACCCCTAAAGATACACCAAAGTACACGCACTTGCCCGCCCAAACGTGAAAAAGAACTCTTGAGGTTTTAGACAGCAGCAGTATCTGGGATTTGTACATTGTTAGAAGTTCTGTGGTTGAATAGTTTGAGGTTTGAAAATTGAAACACTACTAGACCAGTCTCTGGAGTCGGTGGACAAAAGCCGCATGAAACATTATTGTTTCATCTGTTTCTTGTAGTGAGTCCCTTTTCTCCTGGACTGAGCTTTCATCCAGGAGATGACTCCTAATTTTACCATTTTATAACTCACATGTCTAAAACCCTCCTCTCCCTCATTAAACCCCTTCACAAACCAAAACCCAGAACCCCTTCTCCGACCAACTTCCCCTTAACACGCCGCAGTAAAGAACTCGTTAACGAGGTCTGCCAAATCCTCCAAACTCAAGACCAGTGGGAACACACTGTCGAAATCCGCCTTTCCGAGGAAGAAGTTGTCCCTTCCGACATTGCCCACCATGTGTTCGACAAACTTAAGGATGCTCATGTGGGTCTCAAGTTCTTTGATTGGGTCTCTCAAAGACCCTACGGTTGTCCCCTTGATCGTTTTGCTTATTCTTCTCTTTTGAAACTCTTGGCTAAGTTTAGAGTCTTTCCTGAAATTGAAACTTTGTTACCCAACTTGACAACTTGTGAAGATAAGTTGCCCACACTCGAGGCGTTGGATGCTGTAATTAAAGCTTACTCTGATTCTAATTTGGTTGATAAAGCTGTTGAATTGTATTACTTTGTGTTGAAAACTTATGATTTGGTTCCACATGTAGTTACTGTTAATTCTTTACTTCATGGTCTTGTAAAAGATAGTAAGATTAAAGCAGCTAGGCGACTGTATGATGAACTCGTTGAGAGAAGTGGTGGTTCTGTTGAGAATAAATTTTTGGATAATTTTAGCACTTGTATTATTGTCACAGGGTTGAGTAAAGAGGGGAAGGTTGAAGAAGGGAGGAAATTGATTGAGGATAGGTGGGGTAAAGGTTGTGTACCAAATGTTGTTTTTTATAACACATTAATTGATGGCTATTGCAAGAAGGGTGACATTAGAAGCGCGTATAGGCTTTTCAATGAGTTAAAATTGAAGAGCTTTTTACCCACAGTGGAGACTTATGGGGCATTGATAAATGGGTTTTGTAAAGATGGGAACTTTGGAAAAGTTGATATGCTTGTACAGGAGATGGTTGCAAGGGGTGTGATTATTAGTGTCCAAGTGTATAACTCTATTATTCATGCTAGGTGTAGGCATGGTTTTACTGAGGAAGCAATGGACACCGTAAGAAAAATGATTGAAGCTGGCAGTAAGCCAGATATAGTGACATACAACACATTGATCTCTTATTCATGCAAGGATGAGAAAATTCAGGAAGCTGAAAAGCTTCTAGAACAGGTTAAGAATGTTGGGTTGGTGCCAACCAAGTTTACTTATACTCCTATGATACATGCCTACTGCAAATTTGGTGATTTTGAAAGGGCGTTAAGTTTGCTTGCTGAGATGACGGAGTATGGTGATAAACCTGATGTATCAACCTATGGAGCTCTTGTCCATGGGTTGGTGGTATCTGGTGAAGTTGATGTTGCATTAGTCATTCGAGACAAGATGATAGAAAGGGGAGTATTACCTGATGCTGGCATTTATAACGTTTTGATGAGTGGGCTCTGCAAAAAATTGAAGCTTCCTGTTGCCAGGCAGCTCCTTGATGAAATGCTTGTCCATGGTATATTACCTGATGCTTATGTGTATGCCACTTTGGTAGATGGATGTGTAAGAAATGGGGAATTTCATGAAGCAAAGAAGCTATTTGAGAAGACAATTGAAATGGGTATGGATCCTGACCTTGTAGGGTACAATGCCATGATCAAGGGATACTGTAAGTTTGGACTGATGAAAGATGCAGTTGCTTGCTTCAGTAGAATGAAAAAGTCAAAAATAGCTCCTGATGCATTTAGTTATTCAACAGTAATTGATGGGTATGTAAAGCAGCATGACTTACACCTAGCATTAACCATGCTCGCTCACATGGTAAAGCGCATCTGTATGCCAAATGTGGTCACGTACAGCTCTCTGATTTATGGCTTTTGCCAGAATGGAGATCTTGTGGGAGCTGAAAATTTATTCAACAGAATGCAATCAAATGGTATGATGCCTAATGTGATAACGTATAGTATACTAATTGGCAGCTTTTGTAAAGTGGGAAAACTTGCAAAAGCAGCTTTTATTTTTGAACAAATGCTCATGCACAAGTGCTACCCAACTGATGTCACGTTCAATTATTTGGTTAATGGGTTTTCCCATTGCACGCCTACTATTTTCTCGGAGGAGAAAAGTGATCCTCATGATGAGAAGAACTCTATGTTTATGGGTACTTTTAAAAGAATGATATCAGATGGATGGCACCCGAGAAATGCTGCATACAATTCCATTATCATCTGCCTCTGTTTACAGAAAATGCTCAAAACTGCATTGCAACTGCGTGACAAGATGATTAGTAAAGGTTACACAACAGATCCAATTACTTTCGCCGCCTTGTTAAATGGGATTTGCTTAGATGGAAACTCCAAGGAATGGAAAAATATTATTTCCTGCAGCTTAAGTGCGACACAGCTAAGTGTCGCATTAAAGTATTCTTTGATATTTGACCAGTACCTAAGTCGTGGATTCAGCTCTGAGGCTTCAGTGATCTTGCATAGCTTGGTTAAAGACCGNTTGCATAGCTTGGTTAAAGACCATATCTCATAATCAAGATGAAACTGATGTTAAGCTTTTGGTATATTTGGACTGGCAGAAGACTGAAGGTCTTCATTATCAAGAGAGTATTATGTATTATAGTTGTACTCAGGATATTCTATAAGATGGATGGAGCTCTCTGATTGTAGCTTTCTTTGGTCTTCTGTGGACTGACGGTTTTGGAGCCAACTAAAGTCCAATTTCGGCTGCAGTTCTGCTACAGCTTATCTGGGTGTTTTCTCTTTTGGTGGCAGTGCACTAAAACCAGGGTGGGAAAACTTGCCTTTTTCTTCTCATGACTTTTTGACTGTGTAGCACGAAATATAAAAATGTTGTTGATAGCAATTTATCTGGTTTCATGCAGGTGATTTTCATTGCAAAATGCATATATCAGATGCTAAAAGGTTGATCTCTTTTCTTGTGACTGACGTGATGAACTAATACTTTTTTGTGGTACGTATTTTATGTTGTTCGATGATCCCTTTTTTTTTTCTTTTTTTTTTTTGCTTTCTGCTCCGATGCTGCTCTCAAATATGGACCTTTTGTTGTTTCCCATTTCTGCTCATCGTGTTTACATTCAATGCTTGATTTGCATGCTTAATTACTCTTTGCTTAAGAATGTAAATTATTACAGCTTTACCAATTAAAGAATGTAAAAGTATGGTATATTTGCATGTAGAAGCAAGCACTTTGGAGGAAGGCTCATCCTTGTAAGAGGACGTTATTAAAGGATTCTATTTTCTCAAAATGCATTTGCTTTGAGCTTTGGTAAAATGGCAACCATACCCGTTTTTGGCTTGATGTATGGTGCGGGAATTCTGCACTGAAAGAAGAATTTCCAACCTATTCTCGATCACGACTGATAAAGAGGCCACTTTACGCGAGCGATTAAGGAGATACGGAGGTCAAGTGTCATAAGATATTTCCTTTAGGACGCCCTTTCAAGATTAGGACTGGAATTAGATGGGCAATTGGGCAAATTGCTTCAGAGAAGTTGCAGTTGCACAATTCAGAGAGGACATAGAGATCTGGGCAGGCTGAACCTTGAAATTGTTTGTTGAAATTGTATCATAATTACTCATCTAGGAGAGGTGACTTCAGGCCCATATGGTAGCCAGTATGGACGACAGACAGCAGAAAAAGCAAGTTTTAAGCACTCTTGTCAGTTGGTGGTGTTTTGCAAAGGATGAGGAGGATTTTGATCACTTCTTACTACATTGCATTTCACTGTATGATAGTTTACTCCATGCTTAAATTGTCATGAGAATGACCTAGGACAGTGTTGGATGTCAGGGCAAGTTGAGAATGAGAAGGCTAGATGCTTGAAAGGAAGATCTGGTAAGGAGGCTCATTTTGCGCATTTTTTCCGGTTGATTTGGAGAGAGATATAATAGAACTTTTGAGGAAGTTGAAAGCGTACTGTTGAAAGTTAGGTCTTTTTTATTTTGTTTATACTTTTCGGTGCAAAAGGATATCTCACATTGTAAAAAGAAATTGAGTTTTTGGAATTTTGATGTAAACCCTATACATATATATGTGAGGTAAAACCAATTTAATGTGGTATTTATGAAATGCTTTGCTTTATATAAAAGGAAAAGTGCAAGTAGGATATTCTTAGATGCCTCGAAGTGCATTTGTTTTGTTTCGGCTTGAAGTGCTTGTGCACTTAACCCAGAAAGAATGGCAGAGGAAGTCATCCTTTCAGAAACTGATGGAAAGAAACCCTGAAGTGTAACATTAAACAAAACAGACGATCTTCTTGTATTTACTGTTATCCCCGCAGAGAAGGAAATTGCCAGGTGACTGTTTAGCTTACCGTTTGCTGCAAACAAGATAATATTACCTACTTTGCTGCAATAATTAGGGTTTTTTCCCACACAACATTTAGGTGAACTCATCATCATGGTAAACTGGTAAGTAGTAACGCCATTCTCGCATGGGACTAATTTATGTACAGAGCGTAAACCACTGGATCAACAAAAGAAGGATAAATGACCTATCGTAAATAACCTTCACAATACCATATTCCATCTTATGGGGAAAAAATGCCATTATCTGCGGAAAAAGAAGATAGAAAGAAGAAGAAGAGGAGGAGGTACATATAAAACTGTGTACAGGCGACAGGAAAAAGCACCACTTAAAAGAAGAAATGAAAGTGAATTATCGCTAAATCTTGCCATCCATAACCTACAAAAAAAGAATACTTGAATTAAATGTTATCGCATAAATTTGTGATCAACACCTACATCAAGCACAAGACAGATCGTCTAAAAGAAAACTAGTAGGCACAAATACATTGCTCTGGGTGTATGACCAAAACATTTAAAAAGAAACTTACAGAGGAAAACAAGAAAACTGAGTTCATAAATTGAATTCGCAAAAACAGTCTGGTAAAGCAGATCCTCTACCCATTATGAAATCATCTCTATGAACCTTCCACAGGGCTTCTGTTAGTTCCTTTCCTCTAAGCCCTTGAGAGGTTAACAATGCAAAAGCCTTCCTATTTAAGAAAAGTGTCTTATACAACCCCTTGAAAGCTCGCATTGCTGCAACCATCTTATCCATGTTCCCAAAATAAGTAGCCATGTAAGAATCACTGTTAATAGACACATAATAATCAAGTGCAGCTTTTGTATTCCCATGCATGGTTGTGAAGTCCTCTCCGCTAAGAAGACTAGATTTAGTAACAACATTGGTGTACATCGATGTTAGTCCCTCAAGTTCCATCAGGCCATCACCGGCCGCCAAATAAATAGTCGTATTGGTGGGTATGGCTAAAGCTTCAAGTATGAGTGCAGTTTCATTTGGTGTAAGTGGACATTTACCACGGCTTCTCCAAAGACGAGCCATTTCTCCCGTCCAAGGTTTCCTATCAACCCGTGCAGCTTCTATAGCTTTTGCAGAAGCAAGAGAAAGACCAGTGTATTTGCATTGACTATAAGCTACCATGTCAGGTTCAAATCGAAGGTGAAGTGATAAGAAGGGCTTTGGTATAGCTTGCAGAAGCTCAAACGCTTTCTTCTCTAATGTGCTTGTAAGGCGCAATGCACTATAACAACCCTGACAAAGTGCAGCTTTTGCATAAAGAGGGTACCTAAGAGATTATAAGAATGTTGAAAAGCAAACATAAGTAATTTTCGTTACAAGGATAACTAAACTACTAAATCCTTTAAAAGCAGCGTGCAGAAATGATTGGTTCTAAGTTTTCTACATAACTCTGATCACAAGAGATTATAGTACCTATCCCTTCTTTGACTCATTGCAGGGGTGATTGAGATATAACCATGCTTCAATAGGGAAGGAAGAACACTCTCAACATAGTCAAATTGGCCTTTGCGTTTGCTGCAATCGACTCTTACGGGATCTTTTGATGCAATCTCGGTTGGAAGCTCCTTTACCACTTCAACAAAGCCTTTCATTTGTTGGATGAAGTAGTCTACATCAAACACATCTTCAAAACCGCTGAAACATAAAACCAGAAGTCATTCAGAGGCATGAAAAGGAAGAGTAGAAAACATTATAAAGAAAACTTCTAAGAAATCATAAGACAGTTCTTAACCATGTCATGTTGCATACATTAGGGCTATTAAGGACATGTATGATGGAGCTAAGACTCGAGTGAGGACCGTGGAGGGGACTCGGAATACTTCCCAGTTATGATGGGGTTGCACCAGGGGTCAGCCCTTAGCCCATTTCTATTTGCCTTGGCAATCGACGCACTGACGCGCCGCATTCAAGGGGAGAGGGGAGGTGCTGTGGTGCATGTTATTTGCAGATGACATTGTACTGATTGACGAGACGCGAAGCGGTGTTAACGAGAGGTTAGAGGTACGGAGGCAGACCCTGGAGTCTAAAGGTTTCATGTTGAGCAGGACCAAGACAGAATACTTAGAGTGCAAGTTCACCGATGTAACTCAAGTAATGGACGAAGACATGAGGCTTGATTCTCAAGCCATCCCCAGGAGAGACAGTTTTAAATACCTTGGGTCGGTTATACAAGGGAATGAAGAGATCAAGGAGGATGTTACACATCGTAGTGGGGCGAGGTGGATGAAATGGAGGCTCGCTACCGGTGTTTTGTGTGATAAGAATGTACCACCAAAACTTAAAAGGTAAGTTATATAGAGTGGTGGTTAGACTATGTTGTATGGGGTGGAGTGTTGGTCAATCAAGAACTCTCATGTCCAAAAGATGAAGGTGGCTAAAATGAGGATGTTGAGATAGATGTGCGGGCAAACCAGGTTAGATAGAATTAGAAATGAAGTTATTCGAGACAAGGTGGGCGTGGTCCCTGTAGAGGACAAGATGCGGGAGGCGAGACTTAGATGGTTCGGGCGTGTGAAGAGAGAGGCACAGATGCACCGGTGAGGAGGTGTGAGAGGTTGGCCGTGAAAGGCCTAAAGAGAGGTAGAGGCAGGCCGAAGAGGTATTGGGGAGAGGTGATTAGGCAGGATATAGCGTTGCTCCAGCTTACTGAGGACATGACCATGGATAGGAAGATATGGAGGTTGAGAATAAAGGTAAAGGGTTAGGATAGGTAGTCGAACGTTGTCCTTGTGTTATTTGTGTATTTTCATATTCCTTGACTTCTGTTATTACTGTTGTTGCTTTCGTTTCGGCTTTCTGATTGCAGTACCTAGTGTTAGTTTTGCATTTTTTGCTTCGATTTTCTGATTGATGTGCTTGTTGTTGCCCTTCCTTTTACCTTTCCTAGCCGAGGGTCTACTAAAACAATCTCTCTGCCTTCTTGAAGGTAGGGGTAAAGTCTGCGTAAACACTACCCTCCCCAAACTCCACTTGTGGGATTACACTGGGATTGTTGTTGTTGTTGTTGTTGCAGTTCTTAACCATGTAAAACTCCATAGTTGTCTGCTAATTAGACATAGTAACGAATGAATGACTAAAGAAGATCCAGAACCTAAAAGGAGTAATCAAGTTCCTAAAGCTTACAAGATTAAGTAGGTTAAAAGGGAAGATGAAACAAATATAGAAGTCATCACAATAGCATACCTTGACTCATTCCAATATGCAGCCACTTCAAACTTTGGCAAGACAAGGGTAGCATTCAGCAAACGAGCTATTCCAACACCATCACACAACTGCAGATCACCAGCGACGAGAAACAAATTGAATATGAATTTTATCATCACATCTCAATCAGTAGGAAGCTCAGTGTATGAGCAGCAAATAACAATACTTACGTCTCTCCTCATCTGATTGAGCCCACCATAACAATCCACTCGAATATACCCATTAGTCTGAGCAGGAAGAGCTGCAGCATTTCAACAACAAAACCATGTCTGCATTGGAAGCCAGTCAAATGCTCGACTTAGAAAACATAGAACCCCTCAGAGGAGAAGGTTATATGCATAAGTACAGCTTCTATCCTCTTCATAATAAAAAAATTCTACAGCTTCTATCCTATTTCTTGTTTTTACCCACTCCCGGAGGAGAAGGTTATATGCATAGCTATTACCCAAATTAAATTTTCCCTGGTACGAGTCAGCTCAATCTCCATCAATAGACCACCAGAAATACACGATATAACAACATAGTAGTGAGTACATAAGTTATTCAAATCAGCATCAATGACAATGGGATCTAATGTTAAACTAGTAGCTATTTACTGCAGGAGTATCAGTTAAAAACTAACCATTAAGTTGGGGTTGGAGCCACCAATTGCACGGTCGCCACTCGGCTATCCTTCGAATGCTCCATATCTCAGGTCTTTCAACCCTGCAATTGCACTCAAATTCAAACAGATCAAATTGCTACTTGATACACAAAAATCAGGAAATGCGTGGGACCGGGTGTTAATAGAGGAGCTGAAAAACTTATAGAAATTGAAGACCGAAAAAATGGGCGTTACAGAAAAATTAAGTACTGTATAAGAAAAGATTGGATCTTGAAGTTTACTCCATGAAGGAAGAATAAAAAAATGCCCATAGACTTAAACACAGAGACCAAAGCAATTAACAAACGTAGAAATAAAAAAGAACAAGAAGCAAGACTTACAGGGAAGAATTAAAGGTAAGGGTAGGGTCGGAGAAGAAAGGAAAAGGTGGGAATAAGAAGAGAGCGAGAAAGAGAGAAAACGCCAATACTGTAACGCCAAACAAGGGCTTGCGCACCGTTGAGGCGATCATTCTATAGAATACAGCCAATGGGTATCTTCTCTGTTAAAACTATCAGCAGTTTGGAAGCGAAAAATATGAAGATTGAGGAAGATGAGGATAAGAGATATGGAGAGAGTAAGTAGATCTCTTCTCTTCTGCTACCTTCACAAAATGATGCCAACCTCCTCGCTTTTACGGCCCGGAACTTACAACTGTGGATCTACCTTATGGATGTTTAACGGGCGGGCTGTTGGTCCGTTTAATTTATCGGGTGGTTAGCGGGCTGTACTTTTTTTAATCTTTTTTTATCTGTTTGGGTTCGGGCTGTTAGCGGACCGTAGATTTTTATTTTTATTTTTAAGTAAATTTTATTTTTCTTATTCAATGTTATTGATACTTAAGTGTTTGCAAACTTTTAAGGCTTAGAATTAAATTTTGAAGTTTAAAATTTTAAATTTGAAATTTGAATTTTATAATTTTAAAATTAAAATTTAAAAGTAAGTGGCTACAAAAAATTATTTAATAAGATCAATAGACAATATGTAAGGATCAAGCTCCGAAAACTTTTATTTGATATTTTTATTGAATAATATATAATACTTCAAATTAAGTTGCAAGTTCTTTTTTGATTTTGTTATTTTTGAACTTGCAAATTAAAAGTTTACAACAATTATATATAAAAAAAAGAAATAGTACATCACATGCTTTGCATTATTTTTGTAAGTTCATCTATGTCAACATGAGGTTCTTGATTTCCGGCATTGGTTGAATCAGAACCATAAACCATTATATCTCCAATTTCTTGGCCCTCCGCTTCATCTACCTCGTCACGCCCTTGATTTCGTCGTTCTGATCTTATCCAATCT